GGCGTTGCCAGTTGCAGAAGTATGACAAAAGTAAGTAAGTAACCAAGTAAGCCTAGCACGACCAAGTAAGGAGAGAAAGACGGAAAGAGAGGAGGAGTAAGTTCGTATCATCATATCAACCTCCAAACTTCCATATATATATAGTCCTCACAAAGACCAAGCAAACTACCATAATCTAACTAAATGATACACTAATCATATCATACGGCAAGTATTATATAAAAAAGACGGCCAAAAACGCCACAATCATACGCGGTCACTCGCTGGTACAGCTGTTTTACTCGCACATCTTATCGCTTCTTTCTTTCTCAATTGCGTTCGGGGTCGGTTGTGGGTGGTTTGGTTGGCTTTGGGTATGTTATAGTTAGTGCTTGGGTGTTGTTTGCTGATTGGAGCTTGTTTTGGTGTTTTTTTTCGTCATGTGGGATGGGTGAGGGGTGGATGGAATGGATGGATGGATGGATGGGGGGAGGGAGTTGGGATGGTGCGATGGCTTCTTGTTGCGCGGCTGTGGTGCTTCGGTATTGGCGTTTAAGCAGTATGATAGCAGGGTGAATGGGCAGTAATATGATGCAGTAACATTTCGTGCGGGACTGATAGAATTCCATCGCGAAAATACCATTACACTGCCGACACCGTAGAGCAGCAGCTACATCTGCCAACACCACAAAATAGCTTTAGATCTAACAGCACAGAACCAACCTCTGAGCACATTATTATTTTATTTTTATATCTCCCCCTCATCACAACCACATGCCAGCATAATAATATACACCACCAACCAAACCCATTAAATGATGGATCCCGCTATCAAGGTGAAAGAAAAAGAAAAAATCAAGATTCCAGCGCCATGCTGACCCCTAACCGTAAAGATGAATATGAGGATGAGGAAAGAAAGGGCTCGACTTGGGAATCGCAATCACAATGAAGCTGAGGAAAAAGACGCAAACCCCGTGACAAAAGGGGGGAATGCGATAGTAGTCAAGGCATATACGTGAGAAAGGAAGAGGCAGAGGAAAAGGAAAAGAAAAGATAAACGCCAGGTAATGCTACTCCTAGAGGTAAGCAAGTAAAAAAAAAAAAAGACAGGGATATAAGAGGGGAAAAGGAAAGGCTGACAACAATGCCGTTGGTGATCCTACGTCAAAGGGTATTGTATTTATTTATGGAAACGAAGGAGGGAAGGGGAAAGGGGGAAAAGAGGAAAAAGAGGGAGAATCAATCGTCAAGGCAGATGATCTCCACGGTACCATTCACCTTCCCACCATCCTTCTTTTCCTCCTCCTTCCTGACCGGTTCCCAGCTTCCATTCCGCTTGACCATAATGTTCTGCACGTCAGTGGAACCAGAGAGCATGAGCTCTTGCAATACAGACGCTAAAAAGTCATCCACCACCAACTCAGTCGGACGGGCATCCCCGCGACATAACGGGCACCGCCAGGAGTCAGCAAAGGGTGGTTCGTGATCTTTGCGACGGGGCCGGGTTTCGAGGTAATTCTGGAGATCGAAGCATTCCAGATGTTTACACGTCACGCCACGAACCGGAGTTGTGAGGAGAGTGAAGCTGAGCGGGCAACGGACACCCAGGGAGACACGGTCGCTCTCAACGAGTACCACATCGTCGGTATCTGAAGCACCGGAGAGACGACCGAGGATCGAGGATTTTGCGCTCGAAAGGGGGATGTGCTTGATATCCTTTATAATCGAATCCTCACTTAGGCATTCGTAGATCTCGATTGCCATAACGAAGGTTGAAGGGTCTCGTTGTTTCCCCGGGAACAGACAGACGACCTTTAGTTCGTTCTTCCCGGCTTGGACGTAGCTTGTTATATCGGCCGGTAGATCCTTTCCCCAGGCAACTTTGCGGCGTACTTCAATTACTTGCTTATTGACTTCTATAAAGATGTGAGCAGGCCAAGCGGTTTCTTGGACCACCCACTCACCGCCCGTTCTCGGAGTTCGTGAAGAGTCGGTAACTTTGACTGACCTCAGTCTATATATCAAGGAGCCAGGTTGAACCATGGGCCGAGTTGTCGGTTCACCGGGCTTCGTGCTGGCTCGCTTCTTGGAAAGTCTGGATTCCGCCTCTGCGCCCATAACCCAATGGAACGTTTGAGATATCCTCTGCGAATCCAGGATAATATCCTTAAGCGCAAACTGCGTCAAGCTAATATAAAGCGGCAGCCTTCCAGGTGGGGCAACCGAAGACGGCGGCGGTGGTGAAAAGGGTGGAGTAGCCAAATGGGACTGAAGCACGTTCTGAGGAAGATTCCCATGAGCACGTTGGGATGAAGGTAGAGGGAATGTCGGAGGGAATACAGAGGGTGATGGCATCCCAAGAGAAGCCGAGTTAGGAGGAGGGCCCGTGAATAGTCCATTCCATTCACCTGCCGGAATATTAGAATGTGCATTCTGAAGCTGACGTTGATCTCGTGCAACCTGCGCAGCAATTTGAAGCATACCCCGCTGCTGCTGCTGCTGCTGCTGCTGCTGCTGAAGATGCTGCATATGTTGCATTTGCTGTAGATGTTGAATTTGTTGTAGGTGTTGTGGTTGCGGCTGGCCCTGCCGAGTCCCCACAGTTCGTGATGCCCGTCCCTGAGAAGCAACAGATGACCTCCGCTCAACATCTTGAGCTGGGGCAGTGAGCGCATTAGGAGAATGTTGGCCCATTGGAGAGCCGGCCAATGGCTGCCGCCCGGGTCCAGTGAAAGGGGACGTTGCGGAAACAGGGGAACCAGCTTGTAGAAGACCTAATGCTGCTAGCTTAGCCAACTGTTGTGCCCGCTCGACGTCTACACTAAGGTGATTCCTGCGCTGGCCCAATGGAGGTGCCGGGGCAGGCTGCCAAAACTGTTGATGGGGGTGAGGCATACCAGCATCTGGAGCATTTTGAAGGGCGATAGCAGGATCCCGGGTGAATCCGTCGGTAGCGGAGTTTATATGGAGAGAAGGTCGGTGGCCCTGCGGATTTCCAGCTGCTCGTGAAAGGGCCATGTGGTTGAGAGCAATTTGTTGATTTTGCTGTTCAGCCAGAAGCTGGTAGGAGTCCCCACCAGGCAGTTGCCTTGCCATAACAAGGTTAGGGTTATTTTGGCCGTTTTGCCGAGCATGTTGCATTTGCTGAAGTCTCATTTGCTGTTGCTGTTGCTGTTGCTGCTGTTGCTGTTGCTGCTGTTGCTGCTGCTGCTGCCGACGTTGTGAGGCCTGAGGCTGTGGTTGGGGGTTTGGGGATGGCGAGGGAACATTTTGACCTGTTGAGACGTGGCTCTGAATATAACGTGCGATGACATTGCACATAGTAGGAGAAGTGACTTTCCAGCCATGTTCAATAACATCAACGTTTGGGGCAACCCCACGTTTAACATAATAATCCCGCATGATGGGTACTACCTAGAATTAACCAGTTAGCCTTACGTTAGCTGATATGCCCTCCGCCTTGGAGGATTGTAAACTTGCGGACCTTGTATCCATCAGCCATGAACCTCGAAACATGTCCTACATATTTATGGTAGTACGACAATTGCTTCAATGCATCCGGCAGCGGAACTGGCATTGTGGAGAGGTAAGTGAGGTATTTCTGCCGAGGCTTGACGCCATCGTGCAGTATCTCAGACATAAGTGCAACTCCCGGCATATTTGCGGTCACCTTCGTATAGGAGGCCAGCATCCGCTCATTGACCAAAGCAAGTGTATACAATTGGTGCAGCACAGCAAAGAACCAATCATTGGCAACAATGGCCTCCCGCATAATACGGAATCGAAAACATTCAGCAGAATTAAATTTCTGGCATCCTGGGCCACCTTCTCTCTGAATGTATGAATCGTAATTAGGGAGCAACAACTCAAGTCGGGGTCCACCCCCCACTGTTTGCTGCAGCTGCACTGGTTGTGCCGGTTGTACCTGGTTTGTAGTTTGCAACTGGGTTTGCGCTGACAATGCAGCCCGGTACTGAGAAAGATCCGCCTGGCTACTGGTGGTAGGAAAGTATGCAGTTTGTATTGGCGAATTGAGCGGTGCAAAGCCCGAAGATCCCGCAACTTGAGACGGAGAAACCATAGTAGGTTCGATTCCAGGAGGGTTCGTATTGGTACTCCAGGATGTAGAATATGTGAGGGGGAGCGAAGGATTGCCGCCATGGCTCACCGGGTGTGGGGCTGCGGGGATATGGCTTTGGGCCATGGTTGGTCCGGCCGAAGGAAGCGTCGGAGTGAGCGATTGGGGAAGGCGGGACGATGACATATTAGGTTGCATGTAATTCCGCGCTGGAACTGGTGCCCACTGTGTTTGCTCAGCCACGGCGGGACTCGGTGTCTGCACAGACGTTGAGACCGGCTGCGGTTTATCCAAAAGTGGCTGCGAGGGGAGAGCGTGATGCCTCAATCGCTTCTGGGCTTGTTCAGAATCTAAATCGCCTGGTGGCGCAGTTCTCTTTGCCCCGGTCAATTGGCCACCAGAAACAGTTGGCGGAATTCCTGATCGTTCTGTTTGTTGCGGCCCCTGGCGGCTCGATAATTCGTTCGGCCTTGCCACCCCGCCGTTTTCACCAGATGCTTCGGATGAAAACTCTGTTCCTGTTGCTCCTGCACATTGACCTTGGCTCTCGATGGCCACAGGCATGGGAGAACCCAATGGGGTGGTGCCCCGAGCAGCTACAGCGGCCACATTGACATCATCCGCATCCCTCTTATCCGTAACAGAATGGGTGTCACTGGGAGCAGGTGAAGGCAAAACAGCTTCAACGCTGTGCAAAGGTCGTGTTGTTCCAGGGGGCAATTCAGAACTGAGTAAGTCCGGGGAGTTTGAAGCAGTGGGAGGAGGTGAAGCTTCACCAGGTCCCACTGTGGCAAGAAGTGGTATTGACCGACCAATTTGGTGAACGACGCCAACATTACCATTATCTATCGACGAAGCTCTGTTCAGCTGCTTGTTCATCCGTGAGCCTGGTACCGACGATGTTGTTCGGGCCGGGAACCTCACGGAAGTCCCGGCATCAGAACCGCCTCCACTCATCCAATCCCTCCTCCTTCCCCCTATAAAAGCTTGGGCGGTAGTATTCACCTTATTCATCTCGAGTCTGTCGTGTTTCGCGTGAGCACTGCAAGTCTTCGAGAGAGAGTAAATGGACGGGTGAGAAACTGGGTTTACTCACGACACGCTCGGGCATTCCGGGCGATCAGATCCTCTCCTCGTGTACGACCTCTTCCCCGAAACACCTATTCCAGCACCCCCGGCAGCCACGGAGCCACCTTCAATGCCGGTATTATCACTCGTAGAGGAAGCCTTTGAATTTGAAAGCATGACTCGGTTTGCTCCCCTGCGCTTTTTTGTCCTCAAGAAACTTCCCTCCAGACAAACCCAGCCAATTCAAATCCAAATAGCGTTGCAGAAACAAATTAATTCTGCACACAAGAAAGAATGAAGTGGTAAAGAAAAAAAAAAAGCAGGGGGAGGGATTCGGCTCGCTTAAAACGCTGCTCCACCTTTCTTTTTGGGCCGGAGAAATACCGAACTGCCGGTACCGGATTGACGTGGCGACCGAGGAAGACGATAAGCTATGATATTGTGATAATCAGAGCTCGTGTGAATCGGCAGAGCGAATTGAATAGGGGAGCGTAGTTCCTCTTGAACAACGAGCAAAGCTGTTCAGAACAGTCTGTAACCTTATCGCTCCTACCTCCTCTTTCTCCTCCTTTCTCCTTCCTTCTATGTCTTCTGCGGTCACTGACCAATGCGTTTGCTCCCAGATAGTATCCTGCTGTCTTTTGGATTGAGGGGTATTCTATCCCCTCATTCCCACACACAGGTAAGTCCTCTTTAACCTATGCTCCTCTTACTGGTCGCCCCCCCCCCCTGAGATGGATTCTCCTAAAAGAAAGAAATAGCCACTTGCATCACACAAAAATACAAATTTGGTGGAAATCTGCAGAGCAAGAGACTGTAAAAAAAAGGGGGTGTCCAAACTCCTCTTTTTTTTTTTTTTTTTTTTTTTGCTCCCTCTCTTTCTATCACACACTCTTTTTCCACTCAACCAGTTCAAAAACAAAACAAAAAACAAAAAATGGTGGGTGTGGGTGTGGGAAACCCTTTAGTTTATATACTCTTCCTACAAAAAGGGTCACATGTAACATTTTCATTAATTTAAATGTTTGACTCAGTCCCCCACCCCCTCTTTTTTTCCCTTCCTAGTGGCAATCAGCGGATTGCCGCCTTTGTTCAACGGTCGGCACGTACCCCTCGCATTTGGTAAGCCGCGAAGGTGGGGGGGTTCGGTAATCCTAGATTCTTCACAAAGCGGGGCTCAAACCCGACCAACCACGTCCTCTAGCTTCAGCATGATACGTAACCCCAACAAAAAACGCGTTATCATGCCGGAAACCTGCAATCTGATCATTGCGGTGAAGGTCACAAGTGAGTCGGGGAGATAACCCCCACGGCTACCGGTATCTAGAAATCATGCTTGTCGAGCCAATCACAGTTGAAGGCTCTCCCACCGTTCTTGCCACTAAGGGGCCAAAGCAGTACCTGGCGTTCCACCACGGTACTGGTGCGGTATTCAAAAGCCCACTCTACGCGTTTAGAATTGGCAGAAAAAAAGGAATGGAAGAAAAAAGGGATCAGCCCGCACCGATATTATGTCGGTTCAGTTGGGCTAGGATTACGGAAGGTGAGACTCGTGTGAACGCCACCAATCTACTATTCCCTACTTGTGCTACCAGTACAAGTCCAGTTGCAGTACCGGTACCGGTACTTGTACCGCACGCTAACTACTCGAGTAACCAAAATCAAACCTAATTGGACCTGGGGTGTGAGTAAGCCTACCGAACTTTAACTAATTCGTCGAAATTAGTATGGTACTCCAAGTGTGAAACACACATTTTTTTCCACAGCATCTCTGCCGATCCACGCTAAATTTTGATAGAATCTACGAGAGGTTTCTAGTCCAATCAGAGGGATTCGTTCGACAGAAAGACCTACGAGCAGACTTGCAAACAAAACCCAAAAATGGAAACGGAGCCGGCTGGTACGGGCAGTTGGCTAGTTCATGAATTTTCACTCGCTAACCGGCCTCACTTCCACCTGCCTATAATAAACACCTGCCCCCCCCGGCTATGATACGAGTACAAAAACAAGAAACCCATCACCACTCAACCACAACAAATATTTCCCAAATACCAATCCCTATACGGACACAGAATCGATCGGGTATGTAACAACTCCGGGTTTTAATCCCCAAGCAGTTGGGAGAGAAAAATAGGTAACTTGACAGATACTCTCGAACCCCACACAGAACTTGTCAAGCCCAGATTAGAATGCACCCAATTCGGATCGACCAACCCGAATAACTCACTCACTCCTAAAGGTTCCTTCCTCCAAATCCGGCGTCGCACATCACCGTCCGTTCGTTCGTCCCCACGTGCCGTGACACCTGTGGATCGTTGAACCCAACTGAAACGCGGGAGCGGAGTGGAGCGGATTGGAGGGGGGGCGAATGCCCCACAATAAAACGGGGTTACGCAGTACGGCACATATCATACATGCGCACGAAGCAAGTACGAGTACACTATGATACATACATACAAAGCGGAACTGCCGACAAAAAAAAAGTCGGGAATACAAACTATCATAACAAGCCAACGGAAATATGATTGTTGTACAGTTAATTGTTAACATGCAGGTAGGCAGGCAGGGCAAACGGGACGGAAGGAGGGAAGGAAGGACGGAAAGCCCCCAACTTTATTATGATATTGTATGTGTCCGATCCCGATGAATAGATAGATCGATGCAGGGTGATGGGTGGTGAACCTATGAGTGAGTTAAAGCGAGTGAGTGATTAATCGAGAGCGAAATGCAACGGGTTCCGCGTGTCGTTGGGGATTGATAGGGTGATTGGTTACCGTATCATAGCGGTGCGATATTTTTATATTTTTATATTTTATTTTTATATTTCCGGCGGTTTGAAAATGGGGAATAAATAAATACGGTGATTGGATTCTGTTAGAGAATGTTGGTGGAATTGGATTGGGTCATGACCTGTCAATCGTTTTTGGCATCCGACTTTTTTTTCTTTCTTTCTTTTTAGTTGTGCGAATATCATACTGATCACCTTATGATATGAACGTCACATGGCCGCACATTTCCACAAGTTATCATATCATACGCAGTACCGTATCGTACGCAGGTGTCCAATAGTCCACGATTACGGCCGCAACTTTTCTTTACTAGGCCCAGCCGTTGTGGCTCAACATAAATACCCGCCCCTAGTGATAGCCCTGTGCGGTGCCTCGTGCCCCGTATGGTTTGGGTGATGGATGTGTGGCTATGCACGATAGCCCCAACTTGCGGGATTCCTTTCCAGTATCGTATCCCGGAAGAAAAGCTCTCCGGACGGAGGGGGAGGGACTTGTAGCATCGTTATCGCGAGTCAGTAACAGTGATTTGGGCGCGTGGCGGCGCTCCGTGGATCTTTGGATTGTTCGTCAGGGCTCATGGGTTGTTGCTACCGTCTTTTGAGGGCTATTTGTGTGTTCTCCTGCGGGTGTGTGTCTGTCTGTCAGGATGTTAGGGTATTGTGTTTGCGTTGTATCGTATGATATTTGATGATTTGGGCGTCTGTCCTTGTTTTTGACGGAAGGTTTGGGGAGGCGGTATCTCAGGTAGGTTGTTACTGTGCTGACTCCGGGGGGCTGTGGAAAATCGACGGGAGGAGGAGGGGGGAGGAGAAGAGGGATGGCATTACATTTATGTGGGCTTGAGGTAGGTTAGGGAGCTCTGGGTTTGGGGTGACCTGTCGATGAGGGTTGTAGAAAGTTGTACTCTGAAGGTAGCTGGGGGCGGGGCTGTGAGTATGCGATTGTCTCAGAGATCCTACCGTAAGATCCTTTATTTGAAATGGGCACGATAGTGGTATGCAGTATGGTAGGAACCCTTCCGGTAAACATGGCGATATATAAATGACAAAACAGATGGTTGGGAATAGTGTGAGAAAGAGGGGGATGAGGAGGATAAGTGGAGCATGATTTGTTTGTATAAAAGAGGGGTGTAGCCTCTGGGGTATACTCAAGTGTTCAGAGCTGTAGGATCTCTTAGTAGTCCCGTTCCCGCAGATGGTAGTTGTTGTATCTTCTTCTTGGATATTGTGGAGGCCATACTACGATGGTAAGCCAAACGATCTTACTTTTAGGAATGCTTACTCATAGATATCGTTATTGGAGTTCGGGACGGTGCCGATATCCAAGCCAACTCTTGGGCTACGATGGACCTACCGGCAAGCGTTGAAACTACTTGTCAATCCATACCAGAAGCCGGGGCTTCTAGGATTTGGGGTTATTGGCCGTTTCGGAGAGAACGTGGCCGAAACGTAATAGATAACGTCAGCTGGTCAGCTTTTCAGATGTATTGGCACGTCTTACTCCAATTACGAGAGTATGAAGAGCATGTCAGGTCCGCTGTCTGCCGTCCTGAAGTGCCCTCTTATATCCTCGCTTTCCAGCTGGGCTTGTTGAGGGTTCGGTGATTAGCCAAGAAAGAGAGAGAATGGTGAAAATGGCCATCTGGGATTGGAGGGTCCCTAGAGACTTGAAGTAAAAGGCTCAAGGGTGTCGTTGTAACTTATTGCTTTCCGTTTCTCCCTCTCCTGTTCCCCCCAACTTGAGTAAACGATAACACTAGTCCTCATATTAGCACCCAATATGCGAGCAGCTCAGCGCCTTGCTTAGTGGTGCGGCAATGGTGCTGTGCTGATTAGATATTGAGCTCCCCAGCGATGCATTCCATCGTCCGGGTTCCAATTGAACGAAAAATCCTATGGTGGGACATATTTACACTGTGTGACGCAGTGTTTGGTTGGTGTTACCCAAAGTGAACTAATATAGTGGTCGACTTAAAAAAACCTTGGACGGATATGGAAGTACCGCGCAGGAACAGTAGTACCCGTAAACTTTGTTCGGATTCCTAGGTTTCCTTCACCGAACCGATTGTGATATGGTGCAAGAAGTTCTCTGAAATGAGGTACTGTACGAGTATTCGAAAGCTGTAGGGGGCATGTTTGCAGAGGGCCCTGCAGGTTCCCGGACATAAAGCTTTGGTGTCGGAAGGAAGGGTTTGTCGTATTTTTATCTGTATGACGACGGGTTGACAGTCACACTTGGTTAACAAAAAGGTCTTTGATACCGGTCGGATTCGGTAATGATTGGCAGTGGTGAAGACATGCTCAAATGTCACTTTTGCCCTTAGGTCAATAGGATCATGTTGGTGTGGTCCGGTATGATATGACTCCCTACTCCCTTGATCCATCTTCAGGTGTGTAATCATTGTGCTACCCCTATGTGGTATTATATTGAGAATAGAAGTGGTTTAGGTGTCATTCGTGCTACCGGTACACACGTATTCGCTCGTATCGCACTCCGCTGATCCTCTATCATAGCTGAGGGCAGTCTGCTGAGTGCAGCAGGGTAGCTTGCTATTGTACCGGTACTCGTGAACAAGCACTTCCCGGCATCAACCAAACAAATATTGGCGCGGGATCTCGTTGTCCCTTGGACTGCGAGAAGCTAAGGGATTATCGCTTCAATTTATCCTTGAAAGCTGACTCCTAAAGCAGTGCAAGTAATGCATACTGATGGACTGACGGGAGTATCGGGACGATAGTGGTATATTGCACCCTAGGCCTTCGCGTATCGCAGGAAGAAATCTTGTTTTCTTCTTTTCTCTCCTGCATACTCCATCAACCAACGAGTGGGCCGGAGTGGCAAGCTTTTCTGCCTTTATCAACGTATCAGAATAAAGTTGTGTCTGGGCGTCTGATCCCAGAACTGCTCAAGCATTCGGAGAGACCCTTAGCCTCCCGTAGTCTAGCCGTTCGTGTTCCTTCAAAATCTTGTTCGCCTTCTCTCTCTCTCTTTCTCTCTCTTTCTCCTTTCCCCCGCTCTTTCTGCCAGGTGCCTCCTGCGGCCATTCATATCATCACCCTCTTTACCCCGACTGGGACCAAGACTCCCAGGGCTGCCACTCCTAACTAGGTCTCGCTAGGTTCCTCGGTGCAGTTTTCGTCTTCCACTCTTCACTCGTTCGGTTCATCTGGCGGAGGAAAGGAGAAACGCACATAAACAACTTTACTCCCTTTTTGATATCTGATACCAGTACTTCAGGCGGCCGCACTGCAGCTGTTGAATTGAAGGGGGAGGCTAGACATACCAGTCTTCTACGAACAGGACAGATTTCTTTTATTTTATTTAATTTAATTTTTTTTTTTCATAGGATTTGCTTTCACCACGAGTGCACTTTTTTTCTTAATAACAAGCGCCTTCCTCCCCCGCCTCTCATCCGCCACCCTCGCCGATCGAACTACTCTGAACACTCTTCCCCTTCTCAGCACTGCTTGGAGATTTTATTTCCGCAGCGCGAAGCGGGGAATACGGCTCGGACTGTGTGTGTGAAGAGAGTGAGTGAGTGAGTGAGAACGATAGAGGATGGCTGATGATGGGGTTTCTCCTACGACAAACAGCTCTGGCGGTCGAGTGGCTCCGATAAACGCTCGACCGCAGCTCACTATTCCCACGGGCGCGACTTTCCTACGTGTGATTCACGACTTTAGCGCTCGTTCTCCAGATGAACTTACACTACGCAAGGGGGAGTATGTAGAGCTGCTGGAAAAGGACGGTAGGAATTGACGGCTCCTCCGCGTCTCTTGTACATAAAACTCTTTCAGCGCTGACCATTGCAACAAAGACGAATTCGGTGACGGATGGTATATGGTGAGTTTCATCATCGTTTATTTCGTTTTAACCATCCCCCCCCTTAATGTTTGGTGTTTGGAAAGTATTATTATTATTACTTTGTTACTACATGTTCTTCTGTATCCTATGCCTGTCGCCGCTGCTGCCATGGCACTTGTTCCTCACCGTGCTTTTTCATTCTGCTTCCCTTCAAACAGAAAGCAAAGGAGGAAGAGGGGAGGAAGAGGTGGGAAAGGAAAAGATTAACGGAGGAGAGAGGGTGGGAAAAAAGCAAAGAATATATATTTCACTGTGGCTAGCACTGCGTGTACATCTACATGTATGTGCGTTGCGCCGCTTCGGCACTGTGTTGGACATTCTGTTGGCCTTTTCTTGTCCCTTCCCCCATTGCAGAAGCGGCCAGCAGTGACAACACGCATTTTCACATTCTATTCATTCTCGCGGGCCGGGTCTTGAGTCTCAAGAGAGCAATTCGCTAATCCTATGAGCCATTACGCAGGGACGCTCTCTCACCGGCGCAGTTGGCCTTTTCCCCCAGGGTGAGTTTTCTTTTTTTCCTCTTCTTCCCATTCTACATACACCAACCCCCCGCCCCGCCCCCCACTGGCACTTCATATTTCTCTCTCTACATGATCGGACTTCCGCTCCTCTGCGCAGAAGAAATTCACGAGGTTTTTGTGACATGTCGTTTGGGCTTGGGGCATATTTACCTTTCAAGAAACAATGGCTAAGCAGCAATACCCCTTGGGTTCGAAAAGTCTACACAAGTCCAGAAGTCGTCAGCACCGTGATTGAGTCGCCTGCGGTGTTTACGCCCTCAACACCTGCTCCCTTGCCCAATATGGGTACGCAACCTGCAACGACGGTGGACCCGCCCGTGACAGCGACTGCTCCCGTTGTTCCTCCAACCAAGACAGGAACCCCGGGACCGGATCCATCTCAAGCATCGCCTGTCAATTCTCATATATCATCCTCACATTCAACAATTGAGGAAACAGATGATCACGACCCTATGCCACCACTTGCTGTTGATAAGGTCTCATCACCTACGGCAACACCCAAAATTGCCTCTCCAAATGCCATGGCTCAGGTAAAGGGTGACAGATCAAGCGCGAATTATCCACCGGGTATGCGTAGTCTTGTGGTTGAGGATACTCTAAGCGACATCGATGAAGCTATAACCGAGATTTCCAATTCTAGAGAAAGTAGAACGAGCCGAGTGATGAAAGATCACAATCGACGTCACAGCAGTGTGTCCACCACTCGGCCGTCATTCACACCTCTAGAGCAAGTTGTTCAGGATTCCTCCTCGGAATATTCAAAGCATGATAACGTGTCCGGTTCTGAAATTGAGGATGATGACCTAGAAGGTGCTAATTTACCGAATAACGGTGAAGTGTTTTATACAGAAGAACAGATCAAGGCTTGGACGCCCGCGGAGGTTGCTAAATACCTGGAAAGCCGCAAACTTCCCCTCGTTTCTTGTCAAAAGTTCGAGGAACAGGAGGTCAGCGGGTCAATTTTATTGCAACTGGAGATGTCGCATCTCAGGGAATTAGATCTTGGGAGTTTTGGAAAGAGGTTTGAGGTTTGGAAGGAGATTGAGAACTTGGTGAAGAGGTCTAAGAGGTCGCCTCCAAAGACAAAACCGAGAAGCGGAAGTGATGCACGGTTATCCGCGGTGGGTATATCTCAGACAAGCCCTCGTCAAAGAAGCAGCACAATTGGAGGGGGGCCGGTGCTACCGATGATTCCTAGTCATCATAACCGGCCAGTCTCAAAACAGCATCATATCAATACTCACGAAGCGAATATGCTAGACCCGAGAAATCATGGTTACGCGCCCCTCCATACCCCAATGACAGCAACCACCATAGCTTCCAGCACGGGCGCCAGTACCCCGCCCGGTATCTTCGAGGCACCCCGCTCACCGCCTGTTTCGCCTCGACGATCGGATACTGCCTCGCACCACCGTCGCACTGTTTCGGGGAGGCGACTTTCTGCGCACGAACTTTCACCAACAGCTTTAAACGTTGCTTTATCGGCTTCAGCGGCAATTCTTACGGCCGGGATGGACGGGAGAGGGCACCAACGAATTTCATCTTTTGATCGGAATTGGTCGAGCTCTGCATTGACTCATATTCAACCTTCTACGGGGGAAGAGACCGGGGAATTTGGGCACAGGACAAGTGCAAGTGTTGGAACGGGGGATACAGGTTTTACAGGTGATAGTGGGTTCTCGGGATCGCAACCCCAAACTCCAAAAGTGGCGGAGCATAGCTACTTTTCTAGTGGAGAATCAACCCCTAGAGAACGCAAGGTATTGCAAAAGAAGAATGGGGGTAATCATGCCAGAAAAGCTAGCTACACTGAAGAACAAAGGCTGAGAAGTGGTACAGCTCATGCTAGACAGTCTAGGATCGGCAGTGCGGAATCTCCCGGAAAGCCCTCACCCTTATGCACAGCGGCCCAGGCCTATCACATTCGTGGCAACAGCAAGGAAAAACAAAATAAACGGAAAAGTGCTTCCTTTAGTGGGCCTCCGGAGGGGTTTCCCTATGTTTCGCCAGGTCTCTCCCCGTCCCTGTCAGGAAAGGTACCCCCCCGTTCGACAACAGATGACCCTATCATTACGAACACGAATGTTCCTACCCCTGTTGTTCCTACTCGTTCTGTATCGGAAACCCTCAAGAAAGTGGATTCCGGATTGGGTTCCGGCGATGGGTCTACCCCTTCGCTCACCGCAACCCTCGAGTCGGATACGGTGTCGGGGCCCCCGGAGAGACCTCCAAAGGCAGACCGAACTCAATCAGCTTCGGGCCGCCGTATCCGTGGTGTTTCCTCCGGGACGGCACTTCGCCAGAAATCGAAGAAGCACCACACAAGCGCGTGGGAGAAAGGACTACGTGAGATTACGCCGCAGGAAGCTGCCGAAACAGCTGATTTCAGTGGATGGATGAAGAAACGTGGCTCAAGTGGGCTTGGTGTTTGGAAACCTCGGTTTTTCGTGCTTCAGGGTCGGCGGTTGGCATATTTTTATGCAGACACCGATACGAAGGAGCGTGGATTGATTGACATCACATCCCACAGGGTCCTCTCGGCTACGGACGACAGACTTGTTAGCCTGCACGCTCAATTTGCCGCCGTCACGAGCCCTAGCGCTAGCCCGCACCCCCCGTCTAGTGCTTCCCCGACAATACAAACCGTCACATTACTCAACGGGGAGAAGTCACCAACGTCACCGAAACCTCCGCCGCCAGATAAGAAGGAAAAGGGCGCCGACAAAGATAAGGGCAAAGAGAAGGAAGAGAAGGAGAGGGGCTGGTTCACATTCAAACTTGTCCCCCCGGCTCCCGGTGCATCCAAGGGTGTGACATTTACGCCCCCAAGGCTACACTACTTCGCCACCGACACTAGAGAAGAAGGCAAGAAATGGATGGGTGCAATAATGAAAGCCACGATTGATCGTGACGAGTCAAAGCCCATTGTCAGCAGTTACAACGCAAAGACTATATCCCTTGCCAAAGCCCGCCAACTCAAATCCCGGCCACCAGATTTGGCAATAAGGGGTGATGGTAGCGGCATGGACTTCGGCCTCGATCATGATAATCGTCCCGAAAGTTCAACTTCTGGCCTTGCCATCACGGGAATAGAATTCGGTGATGGGGGCGAGGAGGCTGATGTTGAGGATGGCCGTGACGGGAGCGTGGAAACTGCGGGGAATGGTGAGGCGGAGAGCAGCCATGGCGGTGGAGATGAGAGGGAGAGGGAGGAGAGTTTGAAGGATGGGCCGGAGGGTGGCAAGGCTGAAGTGCCTGTGGAGGCGGAGGCGGAGGAGAGGGAACGGAAGGAACTGTTGAGTTTGGTGGGGGACATTGGGATTATTACTTAGTAGAGTATAGTTTATGGGTAGGAAGGGAGGGAGGATGGGAGGGATATTCTGTGCATCCTTTACAGCGTCTTTGTTGTGTCATTTCCTCTCTGTTTTGCCCCCTGTGCCCTCTTACTTTCTGTCGATACCAACTACTCTGGTTTACGCTATCACACCTTGAGCATAATTATTTATTTTCTTCTATTCGCCTCTTAGGTTCTCACTATTATTCTTTAATTACCCTCTTCTTCCCTATCTTTTTTTTCCTTTCTATTACCTTTCCCCTTCATATGTCTATTCTCGGAACACATACAATGTAGGCATTCAACCCTTCATTCTTGATTCTGCAGACGGGCAAGGTCCTGGTGGGAATGGTAACGTTTTGTTCACCTATTTTTTTTATTTTTTATTTTTTATTTTTTTCCGTTTGTACTTGATTACCAGTAACTCTGTGCCCCATGCTTTTTCTGTTTCCCTATCTTGCGAGGTTGAGATTGGGGCTTGTGTGTGGGATTAGGGCTGTATATTTGGAATGTCGTGGCTGTAGTGGATGGACGTGTGGTGGTGGGTGTTTGAAAGGGATAAATAAAATTACATGCGTTTTATTTTCCTCGTATTAAGCTTCGAGTTTGTTTTTGTGAGAGGCGGAGGAGGATGGGCATGATCGGGATGGCGTGTCGTGTCCGGAGGTGCCTGGGGTATTGCGCCCATGGTTCTGTGGGTTTAGTGCTGTCATTTTCCATGGGTGGTGAGATAGGGTAGGCACGCTACCGCACAGTTATCGTCGCCTGCGAAGGCTCCGCTCCATCGAGCCGATAAGGTCTCACCCCGGAATCCACCCTCACAACTCCAACCCCCATAATATTATGGACCACGGCAAGACAGACTCAGCTTCAAATCTTCACGATTCCTCACCCTTCCATTCATCCAAAGGGGGTATTTATAGCTCAGTAAATACACGACTCGTTTAGGCCCCCCTCAAGTGCAAATGAGGAATTCGATTCGATTTCGATTACAGGATCATACCGGTATGCTCCATCCATGATCATGTGCCGAGCGGCTCGAGCCACGGCCGTGAATGTTTACCCTATCCATTTCTGTTTCGTTTCGGATTTGTACGACGCGAGCAAGTATCCGCCCGCCCCGTGGCGGGTGTGTGTACGAGTACTGTATGTACGAGTACAGTACAGTACGAGCACCGTACAACCGTACCCGCGAATACGGTGGAAATGCGCGGGAAGCTGTGTGGGGATCAGGGTACGGGCGATACTATCACCAGTCACAAGTGTTGTATTCGTTGCTGTACAATACAGTATCATACTAGTACAATCTCGAAAGTGGGTTACGTTATGATCCTCCTCCACCACCACCATCACCACCACCAAGCGATTTCATAAATCTGTAAGGTACGGATTGCAGCCTGGGGCGGTCCCGGTAGGGCGTGAGTCATAGGTCTGTGCGTATGGATGCCATGATTCACTCCTGTGTGTGTGTGCGTGAGGAGGGTACAAATGGGCGACAGGCACCGGAATCATCGCGGGATGAGTCATGGTAATTCAACATCAGTTCAGTTCGTTATGGTATGATAACTACCGTACCCGGATACTCGAGTACTGGATAGTATGATTTGCGCTGGGTTGCGAACGTTGTTGCCTGGGGCGCAGGTGCTGCACCACCCAACATACTATAAGAAGCCCTTGCTTGCTTCGCTCTTCAAGATCAAGTGAGTGCCTTGTGCGTGTTATGTTGCCTTTTCGTTCTTTGGTGTTATTGTTGAGCCTCATGTCGATTTGACTTGGCTCGGTCTGGGGAACGCGAACTGTCAACTGTGGAAAGGGAGCGAACGGATGGGGCTGAACTTGGGTGATCGATTGAAGGTGAGATTTTAATTTTTCTTCTTTTCTTTTTTCTTCTTCTTTCAATATTGCGTCTCGTTGCATTTGGGTGTGTGCTTTTATGATTTTTTATTTTTATTTTTATCTTTTCGTTTTCGGGCGTTTTCGACGTGATGTGCCGCTGTACGTGCGGTGAGGGAGGAAAGTGATGGGGCTTTGCCTCGTCGCATTGTTGGAGAAGAGAGAGAGTTTAGAAAAGGGAGGAAGAGAGAGAGAGGAAGGAAAGGAAGGGAAGGAAGAAGGAGGGAAGGAAGGAAAGAAGGAAGGAAGAGGGATGTTTCCGAGGAAGGATTGGCGGCATCATCATCATCATCATCATCATAGATGTTACCATACGGTGGGGTTACCCCTTCCTGGTTATCTTATTAAGTTAATATGGTTTTTATACCTATGATACCTCATATCCAACCCCCCTTCCCTCCCCTCCCCTGAACTTTTTCTGCTCACTCCTTCCCCCCACTGCCCCACTGCACACACACACATACATACACACACCGCGTTTGATTGGCAGGCCACTGCCATTGCCTCTTTGAGCGTTGTTAATTGGCAGCCTCAATTTGCTTCACTCATGCCTACATGCATGCCTCTTCCTCTCTCTCCTCTCTCCTCTCTCCTCTCTCCCTCTCCCTCCCTATCTCTAACACATGCAAGGGAGGCTCGAGTTTGGCTCGCGTCACCCGGATTTTTACCCATTTTTTACCTTAGTATTGGCATTATTGTATGTTGCTCGCATAGTAACTTGACTGGTACTGTTCCTGCACCACCACCACTACCACCACCACCCAACACCCACCAACACCACTAACACCACAACCACCATTACTACTACTACTACTATTACTACTACTACTACCATTTCTAGTATTCGTTTATTATTAGTTGATCTTGGACATCTCATACGCTTCAAGATAGTCTACATCGTCGTCGTCGTTGTTAACAACAGCTACTTATTAACATACTGTAATCTTTACACATCATTTGCATTGCCTGATTGATTGATTTATTGAGGGGTGTCTAGTCCGGAGAATTTGGTCTTCTTCCTTTCCGTTTACATTACCTCCATTCGTTCTCCTCTGCGCTTTACCTTCTGTGTCTTAGGGTACGAACTGTTTCGTTCACTTCCTCTTAACTTCTGTACCCACCTGTCTTCAAGTTCTCCCTCCTCCCCCATTCGTCTTCTGTATCTACGGCTCTCTCTGTGCCTCAGGGAAAAAGGAAGGAAAGGAAGGAAAAAAGAAAAAAAGAAAAAGAAAAAGTGTATCTTCTTCTTTGCATTTCCTTCGCGTCTCACCCCCTACCTACCTCCTCTCACACTTTATTGTTCTTCTCCTTCTTACTCAGTTTGCTTGTCATTTTGTCCAAGGTCAAATTATTAACTCTTCTCTTTCTGGAACCAGTCCGCGCCAACTCTCGCCTCTGCACCTCTTCCTGATCGCTTTTTCTCGCCCTCTACTATCCTTGACACTGGGGGAACTAGTTAGCCCTTCCCGACCTACTTTCCTGTCTCCCCGGCTTAGCACACACTTCGCACAGATAATTGTCAGCGCCTGCTGTCCACCACCGCCAACCAAACCAGTCGGCCAGCTAAGCTACCTGCCCTCCCACAATCTGCAGCAGTAAACATCCTCTGCCCAACAGCTACCTTCAACCCTTCCGACTTTGGTTGGTCCACGCACGCTTCAGCCCAGTGTGCTCGTTTTCGTTTTTCCGCGCAGCCTTCCTCCCTCTTACACTTCATACGATCGAACCAAATTTTTTTTTCCTTTCCCCTTCCCTTTTCCTTTCTAATTCATCCATTCAACTTGAACTTTTAGACAATCATCCCTTCGCATTGCCACATCACGAAACCCGCAGCCTTACACTTTCCTTCGTCCCCATCTAGTTCTCGTCCTCCTACCTCGAGGCCTGCTTTGTGCTGTATGGAGCCCAACGATATCCCCGTGGAAGCTCTCCAAGAGCACGTACAAGTACTAAAGAACTTTCTCCGAGGGGTGAGCACCTCGCCGTTTGACCAGAACAAACGCAGTGAGCTTCAGAACCAGATCATCTCGACCGAGGCCCAAATATCCCAGGCTCTGCTATTACCACAGCATCAGGGGAACCACAACGCTATCCCAACCAATAATAATAATAATAATAACGTACCGTTGACAACGACCACTGGTTGGCCTTACGCTACACTCAGAACTCCTCTCAGCAGTGATAGCAGCAGCAGCAGCAGTAGTGGTGTTAATATCAACGGCAGCAGCAACTTCGGGATGAAGCGCAATAGGGAGGATGCTTTCGATCATTTCCACCAAGATTTTCCGGAGACAAAGTCTCAACGCACGACTCCCAGTCCTAGCCTTCAGTCAGCGCTGCTGAACCCGAACTTTGCGGGTGTTAGACATAGTCCGTTGAGTCGGGATACCGGGATAAGGTTTGTCACTTTTCTTTAATTTATTATGTTTTTCTTTCTCTCTCCCGCTCCCTGCCGTTTTTATTTTGTAAAAATAAAAACAGCTGTTTCTCAGTTTTGAGATTGTTTTGTTTTCTCCCTCGGTTTAGTTTTTCTCGGAGGAAATTTGGCGGTGGCGAGGAGCTTCCATGTTCCTGTTCGCTGTAGCCTTTTCTATTAATATCCCTTTCCTTCGCTATGCGAGCTTTCTGGCAGCTTTTGCTTTTTTCTTTTTCCCGTCTGCTTCCATTGTGCTACGTGAGGCATAATTCTGACACTAGAATAGCGACGAAGAGCTGGCTCGTAGTTTGCATGCTGAATTGAATAGTCCTAGGGTCGGTAATGGCATGAGCTTCAATAATCCTGGTGGAAGCTCGGATCAAAGTCTGCCTAGTATAAACTCCGGACTTGCGGGAATGTGCCAGAGTAATTCCGATGCGAGTTATTCTGGTAGAAATTTACATCCGAGGTGGGCTTCTCGGATCACATCTATCTCCGTATTACTAACGTGATTGGTAATAGGCGCCACGAAGAGTATATGCCTAGGGCATCCCTTCGACATGTTGGGTCCAGTAATGGTGCTAGCAGTAGTTATCTTAGCGAATATGATGACGGATATAACTATTCGGATTCGGGATATTTGGATAATACTTTGAGTCCTGCGTTGCTCGGAGGTTTACCAAAGCCTTCGGCGAGTATGTATTCTTTTCAGCCACACTTACCCCAGTATGATCCCATCCCCCAAAATGCGCATCACACTTTAGCTCCCCTGCGGTTTCCCCACGTTTCTGCGAATGAAGTTATCGAACTCCTGGATTCTGATGAGGAATCTGAGGCGGCCGTTAGTCAATCAAGCATAGGATCACTGTTACCGGCCCAGGATTCCCGTGCTGGCTCTGTACGACCTTTCGACTATTCAAACTACGACAACCTCGCCACGACTAATGGATGGAATAATAATAATGGTGGTGGCTTTGATGATCCCATAATCGTCCCAAATCAAATGCCACAGACGCCTGATCCTGCAACCGCTTCAAACGACAACGGCAACCAAACGCCCCAGGCATCTGATTCCAGTGCTTACGGTGGTATCGTCGACCGGGATGGCAATCCACTGAACAGTGGCTGGCCCAGCACCTATCGCCCCGAGATTGGGAATTACATTAACCACATCCGTAACGACCCCACCAAGACTTTGGATCAACTAAAGACTCTGATGGAGAATATTCGGCCGGACATGGAGATTCCTCCAGAAAATAGGGAGGGAACGCCGGATGATATGACGTACCCGCTCATGGAACATCAGAAGTTGGGCTTGGCGTGGTTGAAGGGTATGGAGGATGGGTCCAACAAAGGGGGCATTCTTGCGGACGATATGGGCCTGGGAAAGACTATTCAGGCTCTTGCGCTCATTGTCTCGAGAAAGTCGAAGGATCCAGATCGGAAGACTACGCTTATCGTTGCGCCAATCGCTCTTCTGAAGCAGTGGGAACGAGAGATTGAAAGGAAGCTCAAGGCGGAGCACCGTCTGAAGGTTATCATTCACCATGGAAATCAGAAGAAGTGTAGAAGTTTTGAGGGCTTTAAGGATTATGATGGTATGTTTGCTTGTTTGCTTGTTTGTTTTTCGTTGGAAGCTTCTGGAAGGGGTTTCGGAAAGCCTGATTAATTAATTGACCAACTGACCTTGCGCGTGGTTAGTCGTTCTTACCACGTTTGGGACTATCGGCACCGAGTACAAAAAGAAGCAGGCTTTGCTAGAGAGTGAGGATCCGGAGGCCACCAAGAACGCTAATTTCTTCTTCGTCGGGGATCACTGTGAATGGTATAGGGTTATCATTGACGAAGCACAGTGTATCAAAAATAAGGACACTCAATCTGCTAAGGGTTGCTGCGCACTAAACGCCAAGTTCAGGCTCTGTTTGTCGGGCACGCCCATGCAGAACAGTTGTGACGAGTGAGCGCGCTCTGACTCCTCTGTGGTGGCAGGTTGTGGCTGACGAGGAGATGGTTTTAGGATGTTTTCGCTCTTACGGTTTTTGAGAATTGAGCCTTATAGTTCCTGGTCTGAGTTTTCGAATGTATGTTTTTTTTTGTTGCCTTCTAGTGGTTGTTTAACATTTGCTGACGGATTGCAGACTTTCTCCCGTCCACTCAAGAGTAAGAGCGAACGTGCTGTTAGCAGCGCACTACTTAAGCTTCAGGCTCTCATGAAGGCTGTGTTGCTACGGCGGACCAAGGATTCGACTATTGATGGGAAACCTATACTTACCCTTCCTGATAAGAGCATTGAAATGGTTTATGCCGTTCTGTCACCGGACGAGCAGCAGTTCTATCAGGCTCTACAGGACAAGTCCAAAATTCTGTATAACAAGTACCTCAGGGCGGGTACTGTTGGCAGGAATTATAGCAACATCTTGGTCCTCTTGCTTCGCCTAAGGCAGGCGTGTTGTCATCCACATCTCATTCGGGACATCGAGGTCGCAGATGCTAAGAAGCCATTTGACGATCAGATGATAGAACTGGCCAAGAGCCTTTCGCCCGAGGCTGTTGCTCGGCTTAAGGATCCTGATGCTTTCGAGTGTCCCATTTGCTTGGATGCCGCGGATAATCCGTCTATTGTCATTCCTTGCGGTCACCAGTTCTGTTCCGAATGTCTGGTGCAGTTACATACTCAGCATGTTGATGCCGCGATTGCTTCTGGGAACGAGGAAGGTGGGGCTAGGTGCCCTGGATGTCGCGGAGCTTTCCAATTGAATAAGGTTATCGATCTCAGAACCTTCCAGAAAGTCCACATGTCTGAGGGAGAGGAAGCTGCGCCCGAGGAACCCGAGGAGGAGTACGACGATGATCTCATTTACGACACGGATTCGTCTGAGGATAGTGATGATGATGGCGATACAGGGAGTGATTTGGAGGGCTTTATCGTCAATGATGAGGAGGTGGATAGTGACGAACAGGGCGAGGGTAGCGCGACCGTAGGTGCTTCCGAGGATGGGGGTCAGGCACCTGCGCGAAAGGCTGCTGCACCAAAGAAAAAGAAGGACGTTAAGGGCAAGGGGAAGGCAAAGGAGAAGAGCCGTCCAAGGACTCTGGCCGAAGTGCGCAAGGATGCTATGCGCAATGCCAAGAGCAAGAAGCAGTGTATGTTTCCTCCCATCTTTTGCTCTTTAGCGATAGGCCACGACTGATGTATTTGGGGGTACAGATATGAAGCATCTTCAAAAACGCTGGATTAGCAGTGCCAAAGTCGACAAGTGCATGGAAATCCTCCAGACCATCCGCGACAATGACGGGGTGGAGAAGACGATTGTCTTTTCCCAGTTCACCTCCCTTCTAGACCTAATCGAGATCCCGATCCACCAAAAAGGCTGGACTTATCGTCGCTACGACGGAGGCATGACTTCTACCGCGCGCAACGAAGCTCTTACGGAGTTCACCGACGACCCGAGCGTGAATATCATTCTCGTTAGCCTCAAGGCGGGTAATTCGGGTCTTAATCTTGTCGCCGCCTCGCAGGTCATTATTCTCGACCCGTTTTACAACCCCTTCATCGAGAATCAAGCTATTGACCGCGCCCACCGGATTGGACAACAACGCAAGGTACGCGTTCATAAGCTTATCGTGGCCGGTACGGTCGAAGATAGAGTTCTTGCGCTCCAGGAGGAAAAAAGGAAGTTGATTGAAGGCGCACTTGACGAGAAAGCGTCTCAGGGCATTGGAAGGCTTAGTTCTAAGGATCTTGGATTCCTTTTCGTGAGTGACCCCCCCCCAAATGAAGTGTGTGCGTACCGGTATGGGAGTAGCGGCTAATCGGTTGTGTATAGGGAATCGAAAGTCGCTAAAAAAAATTATAAAATGGGGGGAAGGAAAAAGAGCCGGAAGATTTGCAAAAAAAAGTTATAGTATTCACTAATCCTCTCTTTTGTTCCTTGTCTTTTTCCTCTTTTCCTTCCATTCCTCCTCCCTTTCCATTTGTCATGCCTTTTCATATCCTATCTTCTCAACTCTTCTTTTTGTTTTCCATGTCTCGTTTCCAGATCCGGATTTCTACTACTTATACAACACTTCATAAACGCGAGAAACATTATTCGGAGTTGGGTTGGGTTGGCTTACTTGCGACAAATTTGCCATTGATGGAATGGACGGAATGATGTTTTCTATCCTTAGAGTGGGGCGCTTTCTCTTGTCTTTACTTTCTTGTCTTGCCTTGTCTTGATTTGTGCGCTAGCTGGGGCGGGGCGATTTACGGCGTTCTCTCTTTTTTTCTCTTTGAGCATCCATAGTTGGTACATGATATGATATGATATGATATGCACAAGGTACAAAGTACCTAGGTTTTAACAGTAGGTTATTATGCTCGGTTTTCCCACGCGAGGTGTGGTGCGAGTGATGGCGCTTTTCTACTTACCTATGTTTGTGTTTTCGATGTTTGGCTAGGAGTGGCACGAACCAAATTAGTATTATTTTTTCCACATATAATAAATACTTTTTTATTTCACTGCATCACCTGCGTTGCTTCGCCGAAGTGCTGGGATTCTAGGTTCGGTGAACGGTTGTATCTCACTGCACATCACTAAAAATGATACAAAACCTCCAGCACAATCAAAATCATTTCCCCGCACCAGTAACTTCACCTTCCAGTGGACGCTTTAACAGCGTATCACCCGAACTCGACCCCAGTGCCGTCACCAAGGCACCCCCTTAACTTTGATTTCCCGATACGATGAAAACCTCTCTTGGGTGTGTATACAGGAGCTCGAGGGGTGGTACGATGCATGATGGATATCTCTTCGACCTGATATCTAGCTTTGCTGGTTGTCTGGTGTGTGCTGTAGTGTTTTGGGCTATGGGGTAGAAGGGTGGTTGGGGGGTTTGTTTTCTGGTCTGGATTTCGTGCATGCGTGTCGTCGTCGAGTTCTGCCTGGCCAAAGTGAGTTCTCGCTTGGGAAATAGAAACACAATCATTAGGTTTTAAGGGATAATTATAATGCATTCCGAACTAAAGCTATGATACTCCACTTTACTCCACTACGCCTGAACTTTCCCCCTCCACTAAATTATCCGTCCTCGGCGCCGTCTCCCCCCTCTCCTTCCTCCTCATCTGCACCCAGTCACCAAGCACTTTCCATATATCCTTCTTAAACTGCATCGAATACCCGGCCACCAGTCCGCTGGTACTCGGCACGACAAAGACCCTAGCACCGGGATATCCCTCCTCGACATCCACCCCAAATCTATCCTCATCGCTCTGCCACCCCCAGACAAACTTCCCCTTGGGAATCTTGGCGCCGTTATGCTTTGCGCGATAGATGCTCTCCCAGATCCCCTTTCCAACAATGCACACGCTCTCCGGCTTCCATCTTCTAATCTTGTCCTCTGTGAGTTCCACCCTATCATCCATCTCTTCCCTCGATAGCTCGGCTTGGTTTAGGGTCGCGCGCGCGACGAGATTGGTGTTGCCGAGGGAGTACTTCCGCGGTAGGTGTATGTCTTCCGTTGAGGGGCAGACGCGGTCCGGCGTTAGTCCGCTGCTATGCAGGAGTTTCCAGAAGTGATTTGAGGGCGCAGAGTATGCGTGTCCGACCGTGGCTGTCGTGATGCCCGGGTTTAGACCGATGAAGACGCTTAGGAGGTTCGGAGCGAAGGCGTCTTGCACACCACCCAGATGAGCGTATTTTTCGGGTGGGGCGTAGCTGGATTTTTGCTTTCCGCGGCGGGAGGCTGGTTTTGCTCTCGACTTGGTCACGGCCCTGACTGTCGTCCGGGTCGCCACCATTTTGGACGTGGAATCGAGGTTTGCGGAGGGTGCTTCTTCAGGCCCTTGGTCTGTAGCCGGCGGTGTATTTGATTTCGAAGCCGCTCGATTCGCAGCTCGTGTACGGGTTGAGACGGACGAAAAGGCGAACGATTCTAGTCGTTCCTGGAACGCCTTGGTGGCGGTGGAATTGGTCTTTTCTCGTCGAATCGGTGGCATTTTTACGCTATCTTTCTCCCCTTCCTTCTTTCCTTCCTTCCCGTCCTCTCCTATGCCGGAGGGGAATGACATGATTAAGTAGTGATTACAGCGGCAGAAGCAACGCGGTTAGCTCGTGAGTCAATCAATAGCCAATTTGCGGGGGGGGGAAATGCCGCAGTAAATGTTACATCCGGTAGCCGACCGCTCTGGTGCCCGCACGGGACTCCCCATTAGGTCGGATGTTACTTGAGTAGCGGTACAGTTGCACCTGGCTAATGAACGCAAAGAATCAGCATCTCAGTCTGCGTTCACTAATTTTTACTATGGGGGTTCACTATAGCAAATTATTTTCCGCTAGCGTGCTCAGACGAACCAGTTCATTGTAGCCAAATATTCATCATAACGAGGTTCATTATAGCCAGGTGCAACTGTACTTGTACTCGGAATGTTTTTATGGGCGGTTCCGATAGGGTCGATCGCGGTGGAGTGCTTTGAAGCGTGTTTGGACCCTTTGTTGAACAGCACTGCGCGCGTGTGCTCGTATTAATGCATGATCTGGTTGTGCGTCTGTGGGGGTTTTAGGTTTTCCGGTAATTTAAGGGGAGCGGGGCACGTTGGCTTGGCGGTGAGTGAGTGATTGCCCGTGAGGTATGGTAGTCCGATGTGATGGGAGTCAAGTTAGATGTGAAATGAGAGAAAAAGTTCCTTGATGGTGGAGCTGTCATTGGACAGAGGAGGGAGGTGATGGAGATCCTTATATACTGGCTCTAAGTGAAGTTGGTGTGTGATGATGACGGATGCTCACTTTGTGCGGTGATGCGGGGGGGACGTTTGACGGATACATGAGGCTAGTGATGTAATACAGCGGGTAAGCAAAAGTCTTGGCGATTGCTTCTTTTCATCTTCTTTTCCCCCCAAATCCCTGTTTTAAAGTCATTTAACTCTATAATTTCTTGTGATTAATTCGAGGTATACCCCATTACCAAGTGAGGGTCCCACGAGCTTGTAAAGTCCTACTATTAAAAAAAAAAAAAGTCATGGTTATCACCAATCTATCATACTAAGATAATTGCCCAAGCAACCCCTCACAGCAGTGTCCTGGTCTTTGGCGAGGGTGGAAAATCGTGGGGAATGTCAGGAGACTCTCTGAAAATGGTTGAACGATGGTAATCTCTACCATGCATATATATAACTGCTTGGATGGTCTTTGGTCTTGGGGGTGTCCAACCACCAATTCTTTAGCTCATCCCGTGTATTGCAATGGACGTTTGGGTTATACTTTAACGGTCTCCCTATGGAGGGTACAATAGGTGGACTCAACTCAATGGAAGGGAAGAATCTAAACCTTCACAGAATATTGCTCGGGTTAGGACTGCCGGCCGACCTGCGTTCGTGGAGTTTTGGGGTGGCCAAGGGTTGTTGTGTTGGGGGTACTAGGTGATATGATACAATCGTTCAAACGAGTGATATCAGAGTCCATTTCGAGGTTGGGAAAATCAACTCTATTGAGATGATACGGTATCAAGCGTCTGCAACACCAAGATAGTTTCTTGATAACCCAACATGATCCAAGATTGAATATGACAGTACGCCACTAGCACAAACGTGAGAAGTGAAACAATCATGTTTATCAAGCCAGGAAATGTACCAATCCACAACGGCACCGTATAAAACCATTTCTCCAATTCCTCACCACGACCAAACAAAAGCCCGGTCCTCACCGAAACGTCGAGAGAGAAAAAAAAGAGAAAAAAGCGAAAACCAATGCCTTCAAGAATGGATCGAATCTTACTCCGGCTCGAGGAAGCCCTAGGAGCGCTGGACCTCCAGGCTCTCACAGCACTCCAAGCCTTGCGCAGCACACACCTCGAGTACGGGCAAATCTTGCAAAGGATCGAGCTGCACGAGCCTGCAAGCGCGAAAATCGCACACCTCTACAGACTCCTATCCGTGGACCAGCTCCCCGCCGCCGGCAACAGGGACTACCAACACTGCCTTCTGGCAATATTCACCCTCCAACGTGCCCTCCGCGCCCTCATCAAAAGCTTCGAGGGGACGCGGGAGTACGCTCTCGCCGTGGCGAGGCGTGTGAGGGCCTTTGAAGGGAGGGTTGAGCGGGAGGTGGGATTTGTCTTCCCCGACGATCCGCTGGGTGCGCGGCTGGTGTGGGTTAGAGGGTTGGTCGGGGATGCCAGGGTGGTGATGGAGATGATGGCGCTCGTGGAGGGGGCCGTCGTTCGCAGGTTTGGGAGGTTGGCAATGTTGGTGTTGGCCTCGAAGGCGCTTTTGAGGGATGCGCTGAACGTGAGGACGGATGCGAGCACTGTCGTGTACCGGAAGGATGTTGAGGAGGAGGTTAGGGAGTTGATGGGGGTATTCACGGTGATCTTCGGACCGGTGATGGAGGAGGTGGATTGATATATATGCCTGCCGCTCCTGGGTTGTGGGTATGTTGTAGCTTAGAGTTATCTTCTCTTCTTGGACAGGAAAATGGCTGAAATGGCCTGGGAAACCAGTGTCATTTTGGCCCTTCCCGAATTATGAATAGATGATATATGCTGGAAAACCCAGAACTGATATTCCAAGCCCAAACTCAGGCACAGTAGAATTAGAAAATCGAAGCCCTACTAAGCTTGGGTAGCGCTTGTCATTTATACTCCACCTTCATTTTTTACTTAGACTCCGACAGGCTAACTTACTAAAGTTGGATAGAAGCCCATTCACCAATCCCTCGGGAGAATACCTCGAGTGATACACCATGATACCAAACAGGACCTTTGTAGATTTTACATACAGTTCCTGAAGGCGGGGGTGGGGCAAAAATATCTTAGAACTGACAGAGTGGACGAAGAATACCGAATACCGTACCAGTTTTTGTGGGTTGTCGAGACCGTGATCCGGACTGTCCGGGGTCTGCCAAGAGCCCTGGACGGAACTTGACAGCTATGATACCGGTACTTGTACGATATGATAGTGGTCCCGCGAGGCACAGTAGCACCATGCCGTATGATAGATGTATCCCAGACGGCTGTCTTTGTCTAGGAGGAGGGCGGGCCCGAGCGGGTGAGACAGTGGCTTTCAGGGGTGGAGCGCGGGATGAGTGATGTTTCATGATTTCAGCTCTGCCCGTCACCATTTCGAAAAACGGAACAAGCAAGTATCGTTTATCGTACCGTACTCGTAGGTTTGTGGTTACGCCTTCCGCTTAGGGGTGAAATTTCTTTTTTTCTCTTTTATCAGCCGAAATCGAAATGGGGACCACTTGAGCGCGTTCCGCGGTCCGAGTTCAGTCAGATACCGGTACTGTATTATCCGTGGAAGCATGACCGGGGGTGCTTACTCATATCTCCAAAGCTATCCCATATTCCACCGCATTCACACACCTCGCTGTCTAGTATGAACCTGAATTTCTTTCCTACCCAAAGCCTGAACCCGTTGTCCCTGCATCACACTCGCTGTGCTGCTGTGCCGGATGGATTCTTCGGATCTTGGCCGGCTGGGATAGCGGGGCACGACTGCACTTCGTCCAAGGGGTCAGTGGGATAAGGTCTCTATTTGAAACTCTAGTAATTTATTGGCTATTTTAAGGGGGGGGGGTATGAGTACTTTCCAGAACTTGGTATTCTCCAAAATAAGGTCTTTGGGACCGAGCACACGACGGACTAAAGGGTGGGATGGTGAAGTATTTGTGCGGGGCAATATAGAGCCCGAGTTAGGTGGGTTTATCATACAATCAGATATAATCAGAATGCACGTCTCGAGTGATGGATAAGTACTTGTAGAGTGGTGCGCTATATCTATATCATAGGAAAAGATATGTTTTTAGTCACGTGATAGAGAACTATGAGGGGTGGATGCTACCTGTACCGGTGCGATAATTGTAGGAGTTCATCGCATCCGACTGGGCGCCCGGACCCGTAGCCCGCCCAGCCCTTGGTATATAAGATAGAGGGTGTCCGGCCCCCCCCCAGAAAAAAAAGACGGAATACCAGTGTGGCCTATAGTTCGTCCCGTCCTACCTCCAAGACAGGCGGATGGACGGGGATGAGGAATGGGCAGAGAAGGTCCTATCTGGGGGGGGGATTCTAATCCTGACGGGCAAGAAGAGTGGGACAAAAGGCCACCCCCGGGGGCTCCTTGGAGGGGGTATGATGGAATAGTGATAGTGCTAGTGGAATAGGAACCCGTGCTGTTCGGGGATTGTAAGGAAAAGGCTTCCCTAGGCTTTTGAATGTGACGGTTTTGTAGCGACAGAGACTCCATCCCTTGCCTTGTTTTCAAATTACAGACTTGGTGGAAGAGCTAAGATGGACAACGTTACAGTAAAAGAGTACCGTAACCACTGCGTATATAGAGACCGTTGCTAAGAGGAAGACGTGATATGTCGCCATTGAACTAAACTGTATAAAGGAAGAGAAAAAAAGGAAAACAAAAGAGAAACATATCAAAATTGTAACCAAGGGCCCGGGCAACTATTTGTCTAGGAGCCTAAATTCCACAGTATTATTACCAGTATCAGTGGGGAAAAGCTCGAAATTCTCTGTTTCCATGATCCAATAGCCCATTTCTTCCTCTAAACATGCCCAGTCACCAGTTACAAGCTTCCCAGGTGTGAAGCCTTTGATATTCAGCTCATGGTCGCAGGAGCCATCAACTGATAAAGCAATACAGGTATCACAGAAGGTTTGGATGACAATCTTTTGCCGTGACTGACTCCCAGTTTTATGCCACTCCTTCCAAGCCCTGCCTACTGCCTCTGTAGTAACCACCCTATGCTGACTGATACCCCACTTCTCTATATCTTTAGCTGCTTCTTTTTTCTCCCTTACCTCCTCTGTAAACTCTTTAATTAAGCCCTTAAAGGGCTTATTCAATGCTACATTGAGTGGTTGAGTAAGGGAAATGATACTAGTCTGAATCAAGGAGGGGGTAATATGGTGGTCAAGGCAGGTCTGAAAAACTGGAGGGGTAAGGTGAGTGTGATACCAATCGAATATGAATAAAGAACGCGGTTTTTCGAAAAGAGGTACAAGATATTTTAGAATAAATTTGATAACAAAGTTTTATTCATCTAGTATAATGATTCTACTCCGTATACATTAGTTCATGAACAGGTAATAACCGTACCTCTTGGATATCTCGATAGCTTTGAGACTCTTTGTCTTCATTATCACTTTTGATAATGACTATTAATATCTTCTCAGTCTCATCTTAGTCTAATAAGTGAGACCTCTTTCTCATGTAGCACTGTAGGAGATGCTTGTGGAGATAAAAGTATTGATTCAATCTTGTAGTATAAGAAAGAACTAAGTGGTTGCATGAGGAGTTTGTACTAGAGGTTCTTTTTTTTATTTTTTTATTTTTATAGTCATGTTATTACTTATTTAAAGTACAAGAACATCACGTACAGAGCTAGCTATGGCGTAAAGAAAATTCCTCCTCCCCAGACTAAGAGAAAACCCGTACCCCCAAAACCCTTTAGTATAAGTCCAACTACACGCACTCTAAGGATGATCAACTCAGGTGCCTGGTCTGCAGACCTCACGACTTGAACATGAAGGGATTTCTCCTAGAAGTCAACCACATACCTAAGAAGATTCCTAGCCGGAAAGACTCTCCTCCTACTAACTACACATAGCTAACAGAAAGAAAACCCAACAAGCTAGAAAGGAAAGCATAAGGAAAATCTCTACCAAAACTACAAAAGA